GGCTGGTGACCAGCCTACTGCCCTGTCCCAGGCCCTCCCTACTGGAGATGGATGGCAGCTTCTTTCCTTAAGTTTCATGGCCGGGCCCGCGGCTGCAAATACCATTCTCAGAACAACCTAGCCTCCAGTGTGCTCTGTGCAGGGCTGTCTCCGCCTCGGGGCTCCAGGCAGACTGACACCCCCCAAGGTGGCCTGGCCCCTCGCTCACTCGTCGGACAACGCAGGTGCAGAGGGGAGACCCCTCCCAGAGCCTGCGGGGCGCAGCCTGCAGCTCCTGCATCATCCAAGGCGGGAAGAGGTGCCCAGGTAGAGGGTTGCAGGCATCCCGAACCAGAAGAGGCCTGGCTGGAAAGGCCAAGAGGGAAGGCGTGGCATGGTTTAAGGCTTCTACAGGCTCTCGATTGTTCATTTGATTCAGTATCTCACTTAGGTGAACAGATCGTAATCCGGTAACATCAGATGCTTCCAACTTCCTCTGGCTTCTCCTTCCTTGTCCTCAAAAGAGTTCCAAGTTTCTTTCTTTTGTTTTGTTTTGCCTTTTTTGTCCCCCCCCGCCCCCCATTACAAAGGAACTTAGAGCAGGACAGAGAAAGCATGGACACAGTCTGCGTCGGGGGAGGGGAGGCACATTGTCTTTGCAAGAAGGGAGGCTGGCAGGTTTTTTTCCGTTCGGCTTGAATCTGTGGCTTAGGGAAAGAATCCTCCGAGTGAAGAGCAACAGGGTTTTGGTTCCCCAGGCACAAGACCATCGTGGGCAAATTAATTAGGCTTATGCTCTCAGATGAGATCTTTTTGCAGGGCAGAGCATGATGACCCAGGGGAGGCAGCTTGGAGAGGCGTTTCCTGTAATAAACTCTCCATCCGTGCTGGGGAACATAAAGCATTTTCTTACACGTGTGTTTGTCAGACATCTTGGGCACACAGAGGTGAGAGAGGGGAAAAAACAAAACAAAACAAAAACAAAACCAACAAACCAGAACCCAAAATAGCACAGCACTGCATGGGAAGGATGATAAAATTATGGCACTCTGGTGACAGATGTGGAGGTTTCAATTTATCACTCTAGAACCCAGCGTCTTGGGAGGTTTATGGTTTCCATTTCTTTCCTTTCTCCACATCCTGTTTTCCTCACATGAATATATATATGTTGTTGCATATTTTACATCCATTTTGGATGTCTTTCCTCATCCCGACCTGCCTGGGATCCCCGCAGCCTTGCTGCTCAGGAGCGCCGTGTTTGGCCCCGCACGAAAGCACCCTCCAGCGCTGCTTGCCAAGGGCCGACTCCTATGAAAACGCTTGTGGCCCCAGCAGGACCAGGTCCAGCTGCTGTTGCTGCTGCTTTGAAGGCAAATGCATCCCCTGAATCTGGGAAATGGGATTCCCGGGCATCTCTAACGGAAGCCAGGCAACCATCTGCTGGACCAAAAGGAAAGCAGTGCACCTCTCCCTGCCAGTCATGGCCACCCGGAGCACCTTTGGGATCTTTCTCGCACCCATTCCTTGATGATCAGGTTGTTCCTCCAGCGCTGGTCACGGACACGAGTAAGTCCCACCACTTCTGCGTCAACCCCAGCCCCGACCTGAACGGCCCAGGGGAGACAGGGAGCGCTGGGCGCCCCAGTCCCTCGCCTCTGTGATGGGGATTTTCAGGGTCCACGCCGACTCAGTGCACGTGAACCCCCTTAGGCAACAAGGCATGTCCAGCACTGTACCTGCCAGTAGGAGGGTCTGCAAATGTGATCTGCTCTGCCCCTGGGATCAGGCGGCGTTGAGTCAGAGAGGCAGAACCGCTGTGGGTGATCTCCCAAGGAGGGATCTGTAGCGTGTGCAGGGGCTAGATCTATGCTGGACTGGGCTGGCTGTGCAGTCCGTGCATGACTAGAGGTCAGCCAGGCCATCAGTTGAGAAGAAAGTGGGATGCAGGTGACAGCAAGAACAAACTAGAACCTGCGAAGGGGAGCTGAGGCTCACACGACAACCGGAACCTGCAGGGGGAGTGGAACCCACTTCTGTCCCTCGTTACCTTGATGCCGCGGGTGACCTGCAGGACAGGCTGGCTCCCCGCGCTGCAGAGCTGGACCTGGAGAAGCTGCAGGAGGTCTGGTGGGAGCTAGAAGACCCCCAGAGCCAGGGGCTGCCCCGCACCCCCCGGGTGAGCCAGCGGGGCCAGCGGCAGTGTGCACAAGCCCATTTGGTAGCTGGTCGCCCCGCACCACATTCGAAGCTTGAGAACTCCGGTTCTTGCTCTACCTCGTGCTTCCCAATTTTGGCCTCATGAGGCCAGGGCTCACCTGGAACCATACAAGACAGGGCATTCAGGGGACTGTAGCTCCAGTGTAGCTCGAGTACAAACCACCCCGATACTTGTCAAGAGCGTGGTGACCTTTCCCCTCCGCGTCCCTCACTCCCACCAGTGGAAGAACTGCCGGTCCCAGCACCGTTCGTGTATTCTCGTTCCTCGTGTGTTTTGTTCACTGCCCCATCCCTGGGCCTAGAAGGTGCTCGGTCCATTCCAGACACAATCCCAACGACCACTGGTCTTCTGGCCAGTTTTCAGGCCACTCTGTATTTTTACAGCACTCCGTGCATTAGCCGCTGTTGACTGAGCACCTATTTTGAGCCCGGCCCTGGGCTTGGTAGTGAGGAAAATGCAAAGACCCAGAAAAAGCCCCTTGTGCCCCCTGGCTTAAGAGGAGCCGTGGATTCATGGGCAGCTAATTAGTATCACCGTGTTACACTGGCTAAGAGACAAGCAGTGCTCATGATGCTCTAGGAATCCTTCCGGGGGACTTGGGGGACGCTCCCCAGAGGAGTGGGACCTCCACCAGCACATGAGGACAGGCGGAGAGGGGAGGGAGGAGGAGGAGGAGAGCGGCAAAGGAGCAGAAGTCAAGAGTGCAAAGGCCCCAACCCAGCCAGCTAGAGGACTGTGCTTCCGGGATGGGAGGCAGAAAGTCGGGGCTCACATCGAGGATGATGCTAGGACATGACCGCCCACTGCCTGAGCTCCCCCAGCTTGGGAACCGAAAATGTGAGCCTGATGCTCTTCCGTGAGGATGAAAAGTAGCAGATGCTCACTCAGGGCAGGTCCAGTATGCTGGTGTTGGTACATGGGCGCCTCATCCCAACTAAGCCTCACTAGTTACTATGACCCCCACTGAGGGACCAGGAGCCTGAGTCGCAGGAGATGAAGTCCTGTGCCCAGCCACTAAGTGGCTGAACGGGGATCTGCATTCCTGCCTGCGCCCGCAGCTCCATCCCTCAGACGCACAGAGACCGTCCACGGTCAATGCCACCTTCCTCCCCCACGGCTTCAAGGCTGCGGGGGCCCGGGCCCGCAGTTCTAGAAGAAGACCTTGCTGTAGACGCTGAGCAGCCTATCGATCGGTAGACTCCTGAGGGCCTGCTTCTGTCATGTGATTTCAGCTCCCATGAGGCAGGAAACACTCCGGGATTCAAACTAGCTAAACTGTAGGAGAATTCTGCCACCTAAGAAAGTGGCTTTCTCTACCCGGGAGGCCGGATGGACGCAAGAGCCTACACTGTGGGGCAACCTGTATTTATCATGCAATGTGCACTTGCTACTTCTTTGGTTTTTATTTTATGGGGTCCCCCCGGCTCCCCGCCCTGGCAGATACAGGTCTCTTTTGTGCAAAAAGGGTTTTCAGTTGGTAAGTTGAAATGCACTCTGCACTCGTTAGTGTCAGTAATGAAAATGTGCGCCCAGAGAAACCATCCCCCCTCCCCCCCCCCAAACTAGAGCAGAGCCCACCCCCGCCCCCAGGCCCAGAAAGGCTCCAGCGAGGAGAGGCCAGCCGAGGCAATGAAGTGGGAACGGGGAAAGGAGCTCAAGCTACTAAATGTGTCAATTTACTTGGACTCCCTGCAATTTAGAAGCTGATTTCAAAGAAAAATTGCTTCAGGCCTCCGACTCCTTCTGTTGTTGCCAACTGTGGCCCATTTTTACAGCTGACTGACCACAGGCTCAAAATGCAGGGCTCTGGTAGTCCCAGCAGCCATCCGGCCTGGATGGCCCTTGCTGCCCCCAAGCAGAAGCACAGCATAATTACAGCTAATGGAGGCAGGTCGGGGCAGGCCGGCCCTCACGTCCCCACCCCCTGCTTCCCCAAGGACTGTGCCCCGGCTTGCGCATGCAGCTGTTGTGAATCCCCAGTCCACAGCTGACATGATTCATTAGACCCTCGCACTCTGCCACGTCAATCCCCTCACGCCTCTGGAAGCTTCTCTGCTCTCCCTCATGCACAGCGCCGTCCAAGGCTTCGTGCTCCCTGCCTCCCCCCTCTCCCACCCCTGCCCTGAGTGACCTCCCAGGTTAATTATGCCACCTCAGAAGGAAAAGAAACAGTCTGATTTCAGCAGGAGTGACTGGGCAGAGGGGCAAGAAATCCCTCCCCCCGCCCCCACACACACATAAATCAAGACAGATCCTGTTTCCTTGGCAGCTTCAATCTGAGTGTGTCTCACTGAAAATCCATCCCTCTCCCACTGCCAGCCTGAGATGGGGAAGAAGGGGTTATCAGATTGCTCTATTGTAATAAGAAACATATTCATCTCAGCCGAGTTTCCAGAGAGATTCTGGGGTTTGGTTTGGTTTGGTTCTGGTTCAGAAAGGGCAGTTGTTCAAATAGTGTTTTTGGATAGCAAACCATTAGTAAATTGTCCCCTCAACCAACCCTTCCAGGATCTATCGAGAGAGCCTCAGTTGTTCAGAGGAGAGAGTTCTCTACAGGGCTTATCTCAGAGCAACTGGAGGATGCATTACGTCTGCTCAAAAGGAGCCTGTTCCCAGGAAACGGGCGATCTGGGGGGAAGCTTCGGGACAGTGCCTCAGCCAGCAGGGTTATTCTAGGCCGAGGCAAACCGTGGCAGGCCAGGAGCAAACGGACACAGCCACCTGCAGGTGGGGCTCGGCAGACAGAGTGAAGTAGACCAGATGACCTTTCTCCCCGCCTGCACCCCAGCCCTGGGTTCCTTACCTGAACTTTCTTCTTTTGTGAAGACGATCATCTAGACGAATGGAGATAACCTTTCCAGACCAATCACGACCTTCCACTGGGACATTTGCATGCAATTCTTACAGAAATGTCACCCAGAAAATTCCGTGCTTAAGAAGCATCCTTCCAAACAACAAATGTGACAATTAAAACAAAGCACCCTTCTCATGTGGTGGTGCGGAAACAGCTGGGCTCCAGCGTGGCTTGGCTGGCCCAGGCTCGTGGCATTTGTCACCTAAAGGAAACAATAGCAGCTCTGTAGGCATTGCTGTCAGAAAGGGCAGGAGCCACTCTGAAATAGCCTGATCGCCCACGGGCTTTGTCCTCAAATTGAAAAAATGTGCATTGGACAGTTAGAGCGGAAGACACATTTCTCACTTTCTCCCAGCTTTTTCAGGTCTCCTGTGGAACCAGGTCTTCCATGGAAGCGATAGTTGATGGGTAGATTATGGCTCCTCTAAAAAGCCCCTCAAATGCTGGTTATCTTGGTGGGTGTTCAAAGGGAAACTGAGCCGCATTGTAAAGCCCTTGCAGCTTAGGTGGGGCCTCCCTTTGAACCATTCTTCCCCACCCATACCCCTCCTCTGCAGCTCACTGGGTCAGGGGTTGGAGGCCTAACCCACAAAAAGAACTATCTGATACCTTTCCAATGACTGATGAGCCATAGGATGTCCAAGAAAATAACTCAATAAAAGGAAGAGAAAGAACTGAACCTATTAGATTCCCTCTGTCTTTCTCTGTCTTTTTCTTTCTCTCTTGAACAAGAGCCACGAATAAGAGAAGAATTTCCCACTGGTGGGAGAAACTACTTCTGAAGAGTCATGAAGTAAATTTAGATGAAGCAGCCAAAGTTAAGGGTGAGCTGTGGCAATGGACAGGCACAAGGAGCCACTGATGGCTAGAGTGGCTAGAGGGACACTTGGTATCCCTTGATACCAAGGGACACTGGAATGTAGGTATTTCGTCTTGATGGTGCAGTACTTGGGTGACGACCCTGCTGGAGCCCCCTTGAATCTGTCCTAGGTTTCTAGACTTCCTCTTTGTTGCCCATAGACCTAAACATCAATTCTTTTTCTTTGTCTAGCCTCAAGAAGGCTCTATCCCTTCCCTGAAAATAAACCTGGGGAAAACACGTGCACGCGTGCGCACACACACACACGCCCCCCACCCCCACAAAACTTGGGGAGACTTGCTATCCCAGGGCCCAGAAAGGAAAGGGTGATTATATTAAGAACACATTTAATTGTTGCTCTTCTATTTGATTAAAGGAAGGAGGACAAAAACTCTGATTTACGAGGCAATCACTGGAACCCAGAGAGGATGATCCAAGGCAGGGAAAGGTGCTGCCATTTATACAGATTCTTGAGTAACCTGACTGCCTCAGAGGGAGAAAGATGGGCTCCGGAGCTCTCCTACCAGAAAGGCTGTCCATGTGGGGACTCGAAACACCGATGTCACAGCAGGCTAGCAGGCAGCTCTCGTGTCTCCCTCCGGGGCGGGTGGGGGGGTCAGCAGCATGGCCAGCAGAGCAAATACGGCCTGAGAAGAGGCCAAAACCCTGTTCTACCTGATTCCTTGAGCCTTGTAAACTGTGACACAAGATGAGAGACTACAAGACAATTGGGGAGATTTTAAACTGGGTGTCAGTCACTCAGGTGTTTTATCTTTTTCCCATTGGATTTACAGTGAGCATGCTCTACATGAGGAAGAATGCACAGTACTATTACAAATATCAAGAAGTTTCTCTGCCCATTAAGTATTCTTTACAGCATGTTTGGTAGAGCAGATTGCATAGTATACAAAGATCTCAACTAACCAGGATTCAACCAACCATAACTTCTCAATTAATTAGACATTTAACCATCACTTCTATAAACATAAAAGGTCAATGGCCAAAAAAAAAAAAAATCAATTAAAAAATGTCAGACCAGGTGATTTCTTAGAAGCTTCACATAGAGCTCTCTAGGACGATGACCTTGAGATACTGCAGGATCTTGAGTCATGTGAAAATGTTTATTTTGCACATTAAACTCAGTGACAAAGGCATGCATGTGATCGCCAATATTTTGGATAGGCTTGCAACAAGTTTCTATTTTGTTCTCACGGAAGCAGGGAACTGGATGTTTAAATGCCCACCCATGAGTTCCTAAACATTATTCTTTAAGACTGTATTATAACAGTCTGAATATCACATTTTCTTCTGAGAAGAGGGGTCATGAGGAGGGATTTTTCCAGATGCTCCTGACCTATACAAAACCCTCAAGCACTCAAAGGCATGGGTGAACAATTGGTCATAAACAAGTCCAGGGATTAGGACTTGTTTGGTTTAGAGACATGGGTTCAAGTCTCAGCCTTGTCAGTCAAGGAATCACCTTGAGAAAGCCTGGTCTCATTTTCCTCAGCTATAAAATGGAGAGATTGTATCAGTATCAAAAATGACCTATCTCCAAAGATATTCTCACTTCCAAAACCCGCACCACCATTTGGAGAGGAAATTTTGAGGCTATTTGTCTTAATTTAAGCCTCAAACTCGAGGCCAGTTGTGGAGGGAGGTACCTTTGACCGAATCCCATGCTTTGTATTACAATTTTGCCCTCTGAGGTAAACGTCACCTGGGATAATCATCCTGCATATCTAGTCATAGTTGTAGCTTACAAACTCCTTTTCTTGATATAGAAAGACCTTGAAGGTTCCAGTCCATCACTCAGATTTGGCTTTTAAAGATATATCTGGACCCTCTGACCAGACGTGAGATGATGTAGCCTTTGTATCCCTCAGACCCTTCATCCCAGGCCAAACCCAGAAGTTCTTCCAAATCCATTTAGAGGTGAGGAAGTGGGAGGCCTCATGTGGGGAAATGATGAGGTGCTTCCTTCCTCTTAGAGCTGGGTGACCTCCCTCTTCAGGACTCCCACGGCCTCCCAGGCCAAGGGGTCAGGGGCCTGAAAAATAGGGCAGAACCTGGTTTCCTTTTGGACCACACACTCAACCCATTGCAACAGCTGTGTGTAAGCTAATGTCATCAGACTGGGAGAAAGAATATTCCTAATGGTTAGGCTTAGGCTCTGGGGCCACAACGCTTGGACAAGTGACTTCATCTACTAAGGTTTTAATCTCCTCATCTGCAAAATGGGTTTAGAAACAGTCCTCACTTCATAAGGCTGGTGCACTACTTTAGTGAGAAAGTTGATGTCAAGTACTTAGCAGGTAGAAAGTGTTTAGTAGCATGTAGCTCATATTTTGTTGTGTCCCAAGGATCCCCAAAACCCTTCTCTGTTCCCCCAAAGTCTCCCAAGGACAGGGCATCATAGGAGCTAAGATTGATATGACCTCCATGTCTCATCTAGGGGGTTGAAGAACCTTCTGGTTTGTGGAGAGCATGAAGTAGTTCACTGGCTGTGAGCCAACAGCTCTGATTTTTTTGCACCTGTGACTTCACTCAGTCCTGAAGCACCACCTCTGCCGTTTGTAGATTTTTAAAAGTGAGAAATTAGTCATTTTTGCCACCCTCTCAAAGACCTGATGATCGCAATCACACCTATGTTCATTAGAGTTCCATGGGAATCATAAAATAACTTTTAGGTGAGGTGTGGGCATTCAAATGCACCCAAGCTTAATTGGAAAAGAAGAGGTTGTATAATTTGGCACCAAGAGGAATAGCCAGAGTCTCAGCGTGGCACCCGCCGCTAAACCAATGGGATCGAGCACGCAGCCTTGGTTCACTCATTCTGCCTCTGGAGTTTGCCAGCTGCATAGCTGGGGGCAAGTCGGCCCTCTCCAAGCCCACACTGCCTTCATTGTGAGGAGAAGGTCACTCCTTCCTAGGGTCATGCTGGAGACAGCGTTCTGTAGCTCAGCATCTGTGGGTCCTGAGTCTACTGAGCTTCTCTGTTGGCTGGTAGGCAATTCCGTGAACCATTTGGTACCTCTCCCTCAAGGGCACTGATGGTTGGTAGGCAATTCTGTGAACCATTTGGTATCTCTCCACCAATGGCAGCCATTAGCAAGCAGCTCATCCTCCCTCTGGACTGGGCTCCCCACTTGGACCAAGTCTACCAACTTGGACTGGACCAGCACAGCCCTGAGCCACCAGCAGAGGGCGCACTGCCCTATCACCCGCAGGTAGCCAGCCCCGGGGGGGGGGGGGCGGGGAGCAGGGGACCACTTCCACCTGATTCCCACTAGCGATCACCTGTCCCTAGGTAGAGGTCACATCTAGCTGCAAGGGGTGTGGCTCTGCTAAGACACACGGAAGAGCCCCCTCCTCCTCTCCTTCTCTTGACGACCTCTGAGTCCTCCAGGGGAACTTCGCACTGCCCATCTGATGTCCTTCAAGTCTTGGTCACAGCATTTCCTACCCCGACTCATTGCTTATTTCAATCTTTTTTTACTGTTACACGTTCAGTCATTCCTAGCATGGACTCTGGTCTCAGACTACCCGCACTGCAATTGCTGCTTCCTATGCATATGGCTCGAGCCAAGTTATTTAAACTTTCTGTGTCTCCTTTTCTGCAACCGTAGCATGAGGCTGATTATAGCTCCTCCTTTAGAGTTGTCCTGAGGACTGGATGAGTAGATGCAGGGCAAGCACTCGCAAGAGCGTCTGGAACACGGGAAACCCCACAGTCCTGCTGACTGCGCTGTTATTGTGTTCTGAGGCCTCAGGGACATCTCATAATCCATGGCGTTCTTCAGAGGTTTCAGCTCACAGGAGAGAGGGAGTAGAGACTGTCCAGTCAGCTCTCCACCAGGACGCAGCGTTAATCCACTGTACTGCAACACACAGTTGGGCCTTCTCTCTCTCTGCCTGTTTATCATGAACCTGGGGCAGCTCAGTCCTTCCTGTTCTGGGGACAGTTCCTCTTCTTCCGGAACTATCTGTTTACTCACATTTCTGTGGATCCACCCTTCCCCAGTTACAGAGAAATATATATCTGTATTTAACAAACAGATGGAGACTTAATTTTAAAAAACTCAGTATACCCCAACATGTCCAACTTGCCACCGCCACCAGGCTCAGCCCCACACGGCGGCGGCAGATGGGAGAAAAACGGCACTGATGCTCTATCCCTCGCTCTCCCTAAAGGTGGGCCGCTTCGGTTCTTCTTAATATTTCT